GTTGCTAAAATTTTCGCATGCTGCACGCATCATTCAACGGTTAAAAAGGGATTAATTATCTATGAAAGTAAATTTTAGTAAATTTTAGGCTTATTCAAAAAAACTACAAAATTATACATTTAAAAAAAGCCTTAAAAAACCATAGCATCCGGGATATGTATCCAAGCAGCATTTAACTAATAGCTATTCCGGATTCTGATATATTTTAAATGAAATATTATTTAAAATAATATGGGAAAAAGCTCTTGCTTTTTCTTTTTCGTACTCTTATTTTTTCTTTTTTCGTAATGAAAGCAACTAAAATTCTTGTCCTAAAAAAATTTCATATTTTCAAGTTCAAAAAATTCCTGCACTTCTCAATTTTGTTTCAAGTTATCATTTGCTTTTAGCATTAAAATTTTAATTCTTTAAGTTATAATTACAAACAATTATCATTCCTGTTGCATAAAAGACAAAGGAATGTGTTATCAAAAATTTTTCAACTTAAAATAAAATGAAATAACTGCAAACTTAAAATAAAAAAGCAAAAATAAGAAAAAAAGGAATTTTTTTTTCTTGAAAATAATTTCAAAATTATTTAGTTGTTGGAATTTTTTCATATTTGTATCAATGGCAAAAATGAAATAATTTTATTCATTTTTTTCATCCGAATTTGATAAATTATAGTAGTATTTTAAATTACAAAAACTTAATTTCAAATTTAAAATAAGAATCCGAAAATGTGACAAAAGAAAAACCTTCTTTGTTGGGCTTTGAAATAATTGAAATGCTATTTGTTTATTCGCTTCGTAAACTTTGTGTTGTACATTTGGTGTTACTTGAATAAGTTATCCGTATTGTTGATTATTCTGTCTTGAAGCATTATCACTAACTGAAACATTATCACTAACCCTATCAGTAGTTGAATGATGAATGCCTAAACTTAAAGCAGTATTATATCATCATTCTGATTTTTTTTTTTTTTTTGATTAATTTTGATTGCAGACGATGGCAATAAAACGAGCTCAAGCTGGTTTAGCAAATGCTGCTAAAACAACATTTGGTGATGAGGAATTGGTAATCATTTTTAAATCATATTCACAATAACATTTTAAAATTTAAAAATTAGTATAGTTTAATTAACATTTTATAATTTATCAAGGTTTTATTTTGTATCCATTATAATTATTACCGTTATTATTGTTGCTATCATTAATAATAATTTTTATTGCTACTATTATTATATTGTTACTATTACTCACTGTTAGCATACTTATAACATTGTTATCAATCGTAATTATTACGATAATCTTTTTATAATCATAATTTTTCCAGAAAATGCACGTTTACAAGAAAACATTGCAAGCATTAATTTATCCAATCAGCTGTACAACACCTCATAATTTTCAATTGACAAATTTTCAAACTCCAACATGGTGCCATGAATGTGAAGGATTGCTGTGGGGTTTGGCCAGACAAGGTTAATCACAGAGCTATGCTTGATTTTATTGAGCAAATAAGACTTGAATAATGATAGTTTCTCATCGTATCATGCCTGTTTACAATTATTATTTATTGTTAAGCTCTTAAACAATTATTCCTAATTTCTGGCTCTCATCTGGATTTTTCAATGCAAATTTTTGGCTTCATTTTATCTCGATATCAGCGAAGTGAATATATTAGATTGCTAATTAATAATAATTGATTTTTTAGGCTGAAAAAATTACATATGAGCCAAATAAAATTGAATTATTTTAGGCTTGAAATGTGCAGAATGTGGCGTTAAAGTGCATGATAAATGTCGCGATCTAATAAGTGCCGATTGTTTGCAAAGTATTTTGTTTTTGGAAAATTATTGTATAAGAGTTAATGTTGAAGTAAACATTTGAAGAGGATTAAATATATACATATATAATAAGAAACTGAAAAAATTCAACAACGTGTTCTCTTTTGCGTTGCAGTTTTTTTTCAATAATTTCAGGCTAATTAATATAAATTGCTAATTGTTGATTTTAAATTTGCAAATTTTTGGGTTTAATTTTAGGGGCAGCAGAAAAAAGCTCAAAGCATGGTGAAGGAAATCGAACACAGAATCTGATGGGAGTAATCCGTGAAAGGATGAAAATGCAGGAGAGGAATAAGCCTGAAATCTTCGAAACTGTTAGGTTTGTTTTACATGATTATACAGTTACGATAGGAATTTCGCTGAAATATTAAAAATTTTAAATTGGTTCTTAAATAAATTGCTCCTATTAATTGAATATAATTTATTAGTTTATTCTTAAATTTTCCAATTTGTAAGTGTAAAGTTCAATTTAATCATTAAATGATTAATTAATTTCAAAAGATTTCTAAAAATTATTATTGCTTCTTCTTTTGCCAGGATTATATTCAATGTTGATTCGGCAACACAGGAGGAATCACTAAAACAGGTGAAGGCAAGTATTCTCGAAGGAAGCTCCAAATGGAGCGCTAAAATTGCTCTTACTGGTAATATTTATCTTTTAAAGTGAAATATGAAGTTTCATTTTTTTTTTCGATAACATTTTTTCTTTTCATTGATCACAATATCTCAAACTAATCATTTTAACGAAGTGAAAAAATTGTTCCTCTAAATGACAATTAATTGATAGAGTAATATAAAACTTTAAAATATTCAAAACTGAAGTGAGAAATGTGAACTGTGTATGGTAAATTACAATATTTGAAAAGTTTAATTACTACTAAATTCGAATTAACGATCTTTTTCAATTATTTATCATTTTGATAAATTTTCAACAGTTTATTTTAAGAGAGAAAAATGAGATGAAATATAATTTGCAGTGATATGTGCTCAGGGTTTAATAGCCAAAGATAAAACGGGTAAAAGTGATCCGTACGTTACCGCTCAGGTAGGTAAAATGAAGAAACGTACACGCACGATACATCAGGAATTGAATCCAATATGGAATGAAAAATTTTTCTTGTAAGTTCTTTGTAACATTTCTTCTAGAAGA